GCAATTCCACCAGCAACGTAAGAAATCTCCATCCTGGCCACAGTTTCCCCAACATTTCTTACTGATTTGAGGGATATATATGATGTAGTTTAATTAGCGGCAAATGCCATCTGCATATAATTTTAAACAAATTATATTATATGCTAAAAATCTGTGTTACAGTAAGTAGGTGCCCTACTTAGAATTCAAAATGGTGGCCAGTCCAAAACATTACATATGGTGCTGTAGCATTCCTTACTTGAAGGTGGTCAGGCATTTAATCTTTGGTAGGCTTTTGGAAAGGACAGCAGCAAATTCATTTCCATACTTCCTGCTTTGAAAGCTGTGAATAGAAGAAAAACAATTAAACCAGATTTTTTTTTTAAAGCCCTATCCTCAAAGCTACTTAGGTCCATTCTGCATCTGGCATTTGCTCCACATTTTCTCAGCACTCAACCTGGTTCCCCCTTGCCTCAGAATATCTGTTTTCATTGCATTGCCTCAGATCCTGGTTTCCACATTGGCTAGTGTCAGCTTGCCATCTATTTTGTTTTCAACGCTTGCTCCTGCATGGGTATGCAGATTTTCCTGTGTCAGTACTTGCCTCAGCAGTCGTTAGCCGCCTAAGCCAAGTAATTCATGGTAAGGTGATAAATACAGAAGGGAAACTGATGGAGATCAATGAAGCCGTGTCAAGTAGTCTGCTTGTTGTTCCCTTTGAATTGGAAGTGGAGGAAGGAAAAGGTGCTGCTCAAAACCACATTCAGATACCCCAGGGCAATGCCATACTGACTGCAAAGTCACCCCTGAACAACCGTAAATCTATGCAGAAGGTACCATAAAACCTGATGAACAAAGAAAGTGAAGTGGCATGCAGTTTAGAGGGAAATTAACCTCCTGACATGGCTGTGGAAAAACTGCGAGGAAATAGATGGGTGCAGAATCAGCCTTAGTCTAACAGTACAATTCTATACAGAATTACACCTTCCTAAATCCATTGAAATCTCTTTGTACTAGATTTTAATATCAGTGTTGTAAGGACTGGGCCCTTGAGGCATTTTTAAATGACTTTAAAATGGCAGCTGCGTCCCTTTGGGGGACACAAGGATGCCATCACATCTAGTTTGACCCTTAGGAATAATGTGGTCTCTGTTTCTTACCTCAGGCTTTTTATATTTTCACAACTGGCTAAGACATCCAAATACTCAAGTTCCATTGGACATCCGACAAAACCTAAGCTCACCAGATGAGGGCTGCTGTTGATGACAAAAGCCAGACTTATCATATCCAGTGGCATCAACCTGAAATTTCTAAACTGATACTTGAAGTTTAATGCTGTCCCAACATGCTGTGCTAAGTCAAGGTTTTGTGTCTCGTATACGCAGTGGCACAGCTCAACAACCTTAGGCCCAGTCAAACTGTCCGTTGCTAGTTTCTTCAGTATCTGTGTGATTACGGCTTGCCGCTCCTGTATCCAACTTTCATTTTGCCCAGCTAAGAAGCTAAGAAATTGTCGACACCCTTGTGAGGAAAGGCCTGACAGGAAGATGTGGCAGTTCTCAGTGAATGTCATCTTAGCTTCCTTCTTCAAAATCCACTTTCTCAAGAAGAACTTCTCCTTCAGACAGTTGTCATCTATAGTTTTGCTTGTCAACAGGAAAAGCGCTGCAAAGAACTCTTGGAAACTGAAATGGACAAAAGTGTATCCGGCTTGCGCACTCCCATTACTTGCCTTTACCTCAAAGGCCAAAAGCAAGCCATATAAAGATGCAAAATCCCTTGCATGCGCTGGGACTTCACCAGCATAAAACAACATCTTCTTCTCTTCCAGACCCTTGAAAGCTAGCTCACAAAGGCTTGCGAGAGTAGCTCGATGTTGACTCAAATCACCCTCCTCACTTGCTCCACTCAACTTCTGCAACTTGTGTATGAAGATGAGCACCATTTTGATGTAAAACTGGGTCATGGTTTGAGGCAGCTGGATGCTTCCTTCATCTTGCAGGAGCAAATATTCCAGGCAGATACAGACAATGTTGCACAAGGCAGGGATGTAACACATGCTCAGAAGCTTGCCATTGCTTTTCAGGCAAGCAATGGCTTGGTCCTTCAGTGCGTTGCATTGGAAAAAAGAACTGGCATACTCCTCAACCTTCTCATGGTCAAATCCCCAGATTTCTGCCAGGAGGGTAACCATTTTCAACAACACGTTAGGGAGCATCTTAGGCCGGGTTGTAACCAGTACAGTGCAGCCGGGCAAGAGATTTCCGTGGCAAAGACTGGTAAAGAGTTCTGAGACAGAAAGAGGGTGAAGAGGATCAGGGCCCAGTGAGTTAGGAGACGATGGCAACTTGATGTCCCCCACAAACTCATCCAGTCCATCAAAGATCATGAGGACGTGCTGGGCGTTTTCTAGTAGGTGCTCAAAGACTGCATTGGGACAATCTTCCGGACACAGGAAGAAGTCAAATAAGAGTTCTTGCAGAGAAAGCCTTCTGCTGATCAGGTTCAGCTGCCTAAACTCAAAGAGGAATATCAGTTTGTACTGCTCAAGGATCCCCTCAGCCCACTGCTGGCAGATTTTGTTAACAAGTCTCGTTTTCCCCATGCCCGGTTTGCCCAACAGAAGAACGACCTCGGTGGTGCCAGAAGGCACACTTTTGAAGAGATCAGGCAATCCCATGGCTGCATCACTGTGCTCCTCCGAGTTAATCTTTATTTTCCAAGCTTTACTCTGACGAATCACCAGGTTGACAAAAGCTTGGCTAAAAGCCGAATGCCGAATTTCACCTTCTGCTGCCTCCACTGATCTATTTGCTCCATATCTTTGCAGCATTGTTGTGATGATACATTGCCGGTACTTTTCAGAAGAATCTGAACAAAGGTAGAAGAGCAAGAGAGAATAAGAGTCCCCGTACTTTGCATACTTCAATCAATATGAAACCTATTTCCATTCCAATGGGTAGAGAAAGTTTGGAAATACCTTGGTGTTTATTTCCCCATTAAATTTAGTGAGATTTACTCAGCTAATTATACACCTCTTTCTAATCAGTTTAAACAAACTCTATTAGAATGGTCAACTAGTTTTCTTTCTCTTTTGGAAAAAAATCTCACTGATTAAAACGATTTTACTGCCTAAATTTATTTTTTTATTTCAAACACTTCCGATACCAATAAACAGAAGAGATTTAGATGGATGGAAATCTAAACTAATCAAGTTTATTTGGAATGGTAAAAAATCTAGAATAAACTATACTACTTTGACTAAGCCATTGAAACTAGGTGGACTGGCTCTACCTGATTTAGAAAAGTATTTCATTGCCTCTCAGCTGAAATATATCAGACATTATTTAACCCCTAATTGTCCTAAACAATGGGTAAAAATGGAGAGACAAGAACTCAGTCCGTTTCAGCCGTATGAATTTTTATGGGACCTCAAAAACAACATCAAAACAAATAATCTGAAAAATCCTTATTTAAGATTTTTATTACAACTAGGGAATAAGTATAGACAAATCTTGGCCCCAGACTTATCTCCAATAGGAGCCCTTTTTGGTCAAACTTGGTTCCTTCCTGGATGTAGTCCTAATTTTTTGAAACAATTACGAAGAGCAGGTCTCTTTAGAATTTGTGACTTTATTAGAAACGGAAAAGTAATCACACAAAACCAACTGAAACAAATTGCTGGGGGAGAAATTCAATGGATGCAATATTTTCAATTAAATCATATACTGTCTAAATATCTACAGATGGTAAACTTAGACAGAGACTTAACACCCTTTGAAAATTTTATAAAAAAGCAGAAACCAGATATTAAAGGTTTATCTGCATTAATTTATTTACAAATAATGACTAATACCTGGAAGAAATCTAAACATATACAGGAAAGATGGCACAAAGATTGTGATATAATTCTTTCTGAGGACCAATGGAAAGATATATGGTCCAACAGTATGTTTCACACTAGATCGACAAATTTGAAATTGCAACATTATAAACTTTATTCCAGATGGTATTTAACTCCAGAAAGGCTATTCAATAGTAAATTTAAACCCACACCTTTATGTTGGAAACGTTGTGGAGAAATAGGTACTTTGCTACACTGTTGGTTTTCATGTAAAAATTTAAATCCTTTTTGGCTGAATGTATTACAGGAAATAAAAAACATTACAGATTATGAGATTCCATTTACTCCAACTTCTATACTTTTACATTACTGGCCAAATCTACACCTTAGTAAGCAGACCGAGGAAGTAATATCAATCCTTCTAATGTCTGCAAAAATTTTAATAGCTCTTAATTGGAAGAGTAAAAAAATCCCTTCATTGGTACTATGGAATTCCAGAGTATGGGACAACATAATCTCTGACAAAACTGCAACTCAACTTTCGATAAATGAAAAACACACATTTATCTCTGACTTTACAGAAAAATGGTTTTTTTTTAATTATATCAATAACGATCAGTCTCAAAGTTTCAAGTTGCCAGAAAAATATACTAATTTTGTGATTTATTAAATGTTGTATTAGAATAACAGTTTAACTTTACTATATATATATAGTTAATTATGTAAAAGTTTAAGTTATATTTTTATCATGTTATATGTTTTGTTGTTGTTTGTATATAATGTTTGTATATAATAAAATCAATAAAAATTAAGAAAAATATGAAACCTATTTGACTACTGTGTCTTCTCCCAAAGGATCTTGGGAACTGTAGTTTTCTGAGGGATGACAATTCTTGAGATTAGTAGTCTCAATATTTTCAGTCCTGTCCCCCATATTTAACCCCAATGTTCCACTTCTAATCTTTTATAATATATGTTTGCCCCCCTTCTACAATATGTTGCAAAGAGGGAGAGAGGCCTTATGTCTGCGTAGAAGGGCGAATACATTTCCTTATCCCTGTATGATAAATAGCACTGTCAAAATTGTGGATACCAAAATATACATATATATCGGCAACCAGGAGTGCTGGTTGTGGCAGTGAGAGGCAAAAACAGGAAGGAGATATCTACATGAACCCATGAAGCTGCCTTAGATTTGTCAGCCAAGGTCAGTATTTATTTTTTATTTATTAGACTTCCACATGGGCTCAGGGCGGCCCTGACTGGCAGTGGCTCTCCAGGATCTCAGGTGCAGGTCTTTCCCATCATCTACTATCTAATCCCTTTAACTGGAGACACTGGGGATTATATCCAGGACTTTCTGTATTCCGAGCCAAAGTTCTACCACTTAGCCACAACCCCAAACCCAGTCAGCACTGGACATGGCAGGCAGCTCAGAATTTCTGAACCTGCTTTGCAAACTGATATAGAAGTTCAAGATCCATGGCCTGAACACGGGCCACTCACAGAAACTTCATTTCCACCTCCGAGCACCTTGCAGACCAATCTATTGGGGGTAGGGGGGGGACAGAGTTAGAGAGATGACATGCCTAGCCGCTGCTGTTTGGACTGCTTGCCGTTGTTGGTGGTGGAAAGGCTGGTCCAAGGACGACGTCGTTCATGTCCTGGAGAGTGAAGAAGCAACACAGCAGTAGTTAATACAGGGTGTTCACTCTGAAAATGTGCTGAAGGCACAGTCGGCCAGGAAGTTGTCCGGCACACAGCCTGCGCTGCTTTCCACACTGAAGTGCAATCTGTTTCTCTGCCTCAATGCCCACAAAATATGCTGCCGCCAGGATCACACTGGATTAGGGATGTTATTCCCCAGTTTGGGGGGGGGGATCCCCCGATTCTTTCAGCTCCTCCCTGCCACTGGCCAGCTGGCTGTCAGGGGAAATTCTGTCCCCAAATGTGATGTGCTGACATCACACGGAAGTGATATCACGTTGGTGACGTTGCGCGGCGATGCTTTGGTTTTGGTGCAAAGCTCTTTGGTTTGAGGGCAGTTTCACTACAGAGTTTTGCCCCCAAACCAGAGTGTTGTTGCCATGCAACATTGCCAACATGATGACGTCACTTCCGTGTGACGTCAGCACATAGCAGCACTCCACCCCCACTCTTAGAAAGTCCCTCCCCCACCAGCGCAACAAAGTGACCTGGCAACCCTACACTGGATCCATATTCATTCAGCTAAATTCTCAGTTGGTGGATAAGGCCAACTAGCATGAGCATTACCCCCGAAATTGTTAATCTTAGATTTCAGCAGAACCTTGGCGGACACAGAAAAAACAGTGAGGATGCAGAAGAACCATTCAGGGTACAGTGGTTATGCAATAAAACGAATAAAAACAAACATTTAAGAAACATACAGAGTTTCATTCAATCACCTTGCATAACCTCCATCCCAATAATTTGAAAATGCAGATCAGTCAAAGAGGAAACCTATTCAACATACACAACTATATAACTAATCCTTCCCAATCCTTCCATGCAGATAGATCAAGATGGGTAGCTGTGTTAGCCCGTCTGTATCTTCTTCTGTCTGAAGAAGTGAGCAGTGACTCATGAAAGCGCATACCCTATCACATATTTTGTTAGTCTTTAAGGTGCTACTGGATTCTTGCTCTTTTCTACTTCCCAGTCCTTTCACTAATATCTTCCTTTCCTAACTACTCCACTTTACAAAACCCTACTCACCTGGCCTACTCTACCCAAACATCCCTTCTCAATCACATCCTCTCATCCAATCAGAACACTTCACTCCTCTCTCTCATTGGTTGTCTCTTTCTCTCACTCAGAGTCACTCCACTTCACATGCACACACTTCCCCCCTTCCAGCCAATATCCTTAACATTCAAACTGCCTGTCAAGAACTATGTATATAGGTTTTTTGGCACTGTCTTCCAATCTTAAATGCATTACCCCACACGGCCTTTTGCAATGACAGCCTGAGATGACAGACTTTTGAGAGCATGTCCATATTTCTGTTTGCTAGCTGGTTGGCTGAATGACAGGGGAACTACTGGGTAAGGACCAGCAAACCATATATTTCTTCATCTGCTCTGGGCATAAACCACAATTGTAACAGGCACAGGAAATGCTGCAGATAAATGACATAGCAATATAGTCTCTGGGGAAGGGAAGGGAGGCACCAACATGCACACTTTTCTCCTTCAAGGAAGGCTACCAGGAACCTCAGAGGAAAGAAAACAGACCACTGATCCTTCACAAATTGTGATAAAGAGGTGGGCAATGGCAAAACCACTGCAGGAAGACACTGCAGAGGAAGGCAATGGTGAACCACCTCTTTTTTTCACTTGTCTTGAAAGTCTCTTGCTGGGGTTGTCATAAATTGGTTGCAACTTGATGGCACTGATCATCAGGGCTATTTTTGGACAGGAACGGAGTCCCGGCTGGCTTCAGAGTTGGCCACACCCACTACAGCCAAAACCTCTGTGTGGCTACAGAGAGAAGGCCCTGGAAGAATCGAGGCGGCATTTAAATGCCTCCCCGTGCCTTCCCACAGCTGTGGGGAGCCCGAGCAAGCCAATGGAAGGCATGGGGTGTGGTCTAATATGCTAATGAGTTCCTTCTGTCGGGTGTGGCCTATTATGCTAATGAGTTCCTGCTGGGCTTTTTCTACAAAAAAAGCCCTGCTGATCATACTAAGAATTACAAATATCATGTGTGTGAAATGCTTGAAAGAAATTTTAGATGGAAATAAAAATAAGTTCCAGGCTACAAAAGCTCATGTAATCTCAACAAAATTTACATCCAGCCGGTTTCCAACTTGCCCTATTTGGGCAAGATAATAGAAAAGGTAGTGGCAATTCAGTTACAGGGCTTTTTGGATGATGCTTCCATTCTAGACCCCTTCCTGTCTGGTTTTTGCCTGGGTCATGGGATGGAGACAGCACTGGTCGCCCTCACAGACGACCTCCGGAGGCATCTGGATCGGGGCAGGTCAGCAATGCTGTTGCTGTTAGACCTGTCAGCTGCGTTCGACATGGTTGACCATCAGCTACTGATCCACCGCCTCGATAACATTGGAGTCCAGGGACTAGCCTTGCAGTGGCTTGCTTCCTTTCTCCAAGATCAGGGACAAAGAGTGGTGCTGGGGGATCAGCTGTCCCGAAGGCACCCACTGGAATGTTTCCCCCGATGCTTTTCAACATCTATATGCGCCTTCTTGCCCAGATAGCCCAGAGGCATAGACTGTGTCGTAACCAGTACATGAATGACACCCAGCTCTATCTGCTGTTGGGCAGCCAATCTGACTCTAAACTGGAAGATCTAGACCAGGCGTTACAAGCTGTCGCTGGTTGGCTTAGGCTGAGCTGGCTGAAATCGAATCCAACGAAGATGGAGGTCCTGTGCCTGAGCGGGTCTGAGGGTCGGAATCCTGCTCCCAACCTTCGATGGGGCACCACTGGTGCCAGCGCCAGAGGTTAGGCGTCTGGGAGTGCTCCTAGACGCACCATTGGTGCCATCGCCGGAGGTTAGGAGTCTGGGAGTGCTCCTTAACAATGGAGCCCCAGGTAGCAGCCACTGCCAAGTCGGCCTTTTACCGTCTTCAGCTGATCAGGCAGTTGGTTCCCTTCCTCGAATGCAACAACTTGGCAACAGTGATCCACACAATGGTCACCTCGAGATTGGATTACTGTAATGCCCTCTACATGGGGCTGCCCTTGTCTCAAATCTGGAAGCTGCAGCTGGTGCAAAATGGGGCCAGGCTCTTGATGGGACCCCTGATACAGGAGCAAATCCAACCTATGCTAAAGACATTGCACTGGCTGCCTATAGCATACCGGATTCGTTTCAGGGTGCTGGTTATTACTTTTAAAGCCCTTTATGGCCAGGGACCTACATACCTGAGGGACCGCCTTTCCCCATATGTACCCCAGAGAGCGCTGTGATCAGGGACCCAGAACTGGCTGGCCCTCCTGAGCATCAAGGAGACCAGATTAGTAACAACCAGGGCCAGGGCGTTTTCAGTGGCGGCTCCACTCTGGTGGAATGAGTTCCCAGAAGAGACCAGGGCCCTGTGGAACCTTTTACAGTTCCGCAGGGCCTGTCAAACGGAGCTCTTCCACCAGACCTTTGGAGCCGCCACCACTACTAACACCTGACAGCCTATGGTGGGAGAGCCCTGACCCCCTGGATCCTCTAATTACTGCCTGAGCTAATTGCCCAGGACAACTGAAGAAGATCAAGGAGCTGACTGGAAGATGAGGAAACAAAGTTACTAGCACTTTATTATGTCTATGGTTTCAGCTTTGTTATTTGTATTAAGTGATGTTTGATAATTTCATATTATACTATTGGAAAGTTTATTCTGTTCTTATGCAAGCCACCCTGAGCCAGCCTCGGCCAGGAGGGTAGGGTAAAAATCTAATCAATCAATCAGTCTGAACACAGGAAGGCAATGTTTTCCACTCACTGCATTTAAATGTAAATACATTTATATAAATACATTACATTTACATGAACAACACTGAAGGGCAGTGAAATATATTATGTGATCATTGCTTGACCTGGAACTAACACAGTCTATAGTATGGGGTGGTGCTTGCATGAAAGAATGGCTCCCTTAATGAGAATCCTATATTAGCAGTGAGATGAGGTCGGTGGGCATGACATAATCCCACTGTGGTTGATTTAACCCTGCATATGTTTGTAAAATCACACCTACCCCAAAGCATGAATTTCATTTAGCAGAATAACACTCACTTGCGGATGTTGATGGTAACTGGGTGGCTGTTTCTTCAAAGATTTCTTGCACTTGAGTTACATGACCTAGAAGGATTAATTTAAATAAGTGTGTTGGTCTTTTTCTCTTTAAATGCATTTACAGTATATTGTATACCTGTGCAGGTATACATATATGCACAAGGATCTGAGCTACATACCATACTTAGATGAGTTATATCATGGAGGAAATCTAAAACATACTAAAAATAACTGAATCTTCTAAGGAATCTTTTCAAAGTTTCCAAACATTCCAATAGAGTTTAAATCTTCACATGAAATCCATTTATCTCATGAAAATTTATCAGTACATTCCTTCCCCACTCAGCTGTTTTCTCATTGTAGGGGGGAAAGACAGGTGGATCTGTTATTTCTCCCCCCCAGAGAGAGGGAAAAAAAACTGGGGTTAGGAATTTTAATTGGAAAAATAGCACATGGAGAAATTTCATATAATTGTGACTATTTTCATATAACTGAGAGAACAGGCCATTTTAACTGTTTAGTGTCTTTTAAGCAAAGGAATTTTCTGCCTATGCCTTTGAGATCTTTGTAGCAATAAGCTTGCAGCCAATTTTAACTTTCATTTTCAGTGGAGGCTTCTCTGTACCTGAAAAGCAGCTTCTCTATACACTGCAGTTGTCTGTGCCAACATTTTCTGTTTCCCTTTCCTTACTATCTATCTACCTCCATAGTGCTTCTTAACATATCAGTTCTAAGAAGATTATTAAAATATAGAAAAGGCTAGACCACATTTGAATGGCTGAGAAAATCTATCACAGATGCATAAAATTTTGCAGCTAAAAGAACAATAGGTCTGTTATTATCTTGTAATAAAAGAGGTAATGTCTCCCTGTGGTCTATATTTTGGAGCAAAGGAAGAATTAAAAGATTTCTAGGCTCAGAAAAATAATTACATTCAAAAGTCACGTGATACAGGATGTCTATATTACCTGTACCACAGTCACGTACTCCATCAGAGTATGGTATCTTAAGATACCTCCCTTGCAACAGTAAGGCATTAAGGCGCACCAACCTAAAGGCACACCTATAGCGAGGAACGGTCAAATATCAGCAGTAACTGGGAAGCTCTCTAGGTGGAAGAATACCAGCAAAGTGAGTAGAACAAACATGTCATGCTCTACAGATTGTACTGCTATAATCATACTTAAATAGACATTTCTTAATCATTCTTATAGCTTCCTGTCTGGTAACTGAATAAAGGGAGTCCAAGGAAACACTGAGGAGCTATAGTCATTGCTTGACAAATAAAAGTCCTGTCTGACTAAGCCAAGGTAGCCCTCTTGGATGTCAGAGTGTATAACTTTAACTTTAAGGGGGCAAGCCTACAGCTAAGCCCGAGCTTCAAGAAATGGTTGTCCCAATTCAGCTCGGAGGGCTTCCCCCCGTTACACAATTAAGAATTCCACAGATGGAATGTAGAAATTTGAGAAGAATCTTATTTTGTCAATCCAGATACCAACCCCATATAAACTTTGCGTGACCACCTTGGCATTAAACAGTTTGATGGTGGCTGGGATATACTGAGTCCAGATGAATAAAAGAAATGACAGATAATATTTGATGCTGCTGTAGCCAATCTTTTAACATGAGCAACTTGCACTGACCAAGTTAATCTCTGGTCAAACCAAACCCCGAAGTATGTAAAACAGGGGACCTCCTTAATATCATTACCATGAATTTTCCACTTGTGGTGTACATGAGATTCCCCCCCAAAAAAAACATCTTGGATTTTTGATAGTTAACTATCAGACGTTCTTCCAGAAAGTAAGAGACAAAAGCTTCTATCAGAGAGGACAGTCCTGATGTTGCCCATTCTACAATGACAATCGACATCAGTGCATTGTTTCAATTCTGTCAACTATACCGGGAAGATCTGAACAACTTTATGTCTCTCCCCTCCTTGCAGACTCCTCTCAGGTGATAACCCACAAAGTTGCCAAATTTTGCCTACAGTTGTGTGGGATATGCAAGTGGCTGATTGAGTCCCAGTAACTTTGCCTGCCTGTTATAGGAGGTTTTACTTTTCTTATCCCCCATCTTAATCCCTGTTCACTGTTTTATGTTTGTCTCATTGCTGTGTTTTATCATTTGCTTATTCTTCAAAGCTCATCTTGCATTGAAATAAAGTTTCAATCAAGTCCTGATGATGTTCTTGATAGAAGAACTGCATCGTCAGCAAAAAATAGGATAAACACTTCAACATTAGCAATGGATGGAGAAACAGTCCTGGGCAGAAATCATATTGTTGATATATAAATTAAACAATAAAGGGGCCAGCGCACACCCCTGACACACTCCCTGCTGTAGGGACATTACATTGGAAAGTTGTGTGTCTAACCCATGGAGGACTTGTGCAGTGGGATTAGAATACAGAATCTCAATCAAAGCCAACAGTCTCTTGTCAACAGATATTAGTTTTACCTCGTGCAACAGTTGGGAATGGGGTACAGTATCAACAGCTGCGTTCAGATCCATGAAGGCACCAGCAAGCATCCCCTGACTACACGCCCAGGGAAATGCTGATCACCACTTTGGAGTCAAGAAGCAATTTTTCTCCAAGCCAGTTTGACTGGAGATCCAGGAGGGTTTTTGTCATCTTCTGGGCATGGAAGAGCCATCACTGGGGAGTGTGTGGTGGAGGTATTTGTGTATTTCCTGCATTGTGCAGGGAGTTGGACTAGATGACCCTGGAGATCCCTTCCAACTCTGTGATTCTATGATTCTACGACTCTTGGGTATATATTTATTAAGAACTGTAATGTCAGAAGATGACCATCTGTACCAGCCCCTCATCTAACACTGGCCTGTTTCCTTCCCAGGATTTTATTAGTCTCCAACCAGCCCACGAGTCGATAATAAAGGGACAGAGCACAAAGCTTCCTGGCCACTGATAAAAGGCTAATTGGCCTGTAGTTCGATGGGTCCACTTTATCACCCTGCTTATAAACTGGTATTATGATAACATGTCTCCAAGCGAGTGGAATAACTGTTGCATTTATCTGGTGAATACAATTGCCAATATATCTTTCCAGCATGGGATATTGGCTTTGTAAAGTCCTGGGGGGATTCAATCTGCACTAGGGAACTTCTCATTCTTTATTTGAGAAATCAGAAAACTAATTTCAGCTGGTCAAAAAGGGGGCACTCCGGTAGTTCAGCTAGGTTCCAGTTCTCTGATAATCATAGTTACTACAAGAACTATCAAAGAAATTAGCAAAATGTTCCTCCCAGTATGCAAGGAGATATGAGATGAAAGTGGGCTCCTAGGATGTAAAACAGAGCTAACCAGCTTCCAAAATTCACTCAGATTTCTATCATTTCTGGCATCTCTGATTAGCGTTTGCCAATTACTGAGGCAAGTGTCTTCTTTACTCTTGCAGATAGCTTGTCCATAAGATATTTTTTTTACATTTGTAGTATAATTGAAGAGCTAGCATGCCTGTATACCATAAATGCCTACTTTTTTTGGACACTTACATTCAAGATTAAACCACTATTTTTGTAGGTTTCAAGGCCTTATCTCAATACATCGATTTAGGGTAGGCAGACAATAAGTGGGACTAGATTTGCTTGAGCTTGCAGCAACTATCATGCACACAAGATCTTAGAGTAAGTTCTCTCTTAAGATCATGACATTTATCTGAGAACATCAATGTTCTACACAAAATATAGTCTCCAGAACTCCATTTTACTGCTCTCAATTTGTTATGGTCTTGACAGATGAATATCAGATTACTATTCTGGGCACCAAAATAATTAGGCAAATTTATTAATAGAGGTAAGGGCATATAATCACTATCAATAGTTTTCCCCACTTCAAGACAGTTTACTAGATCAATCAGATCAATGGAGATAAGAAAATAGTCTGTAACGCTTGCCTCAAAATTGTCCGAACAGGTAAACTCTTCATGGTCTACAATTTACAATTATCAATTTTCTACTGTCTATAAATGTGGCCACTAGTTTACCAGATAAATTGATCTTGTTACCTTTGGATGATCTATAACAGTGGATAAAACAACTTGTTTCCTCTATTAATAGCCCCGGAGACACAAAATAAAAGACTTCTAGGCCAGTGCCAGTACGTGCATTAAAATCACCCGCAAAAATAAAAGATGTCCTAGGATATCTGCAAGTCAAATAATGTATGTGGTTATCAAACGGATCCCAAAGAGTAACAATTAACTTCTTCATTCACTGAGGAGGCAAATATTTATTAAGACCAGTGTTAAGGAGCCTATCTCAACAAGAACTGCCTATCTCAACAAGAAGAGGGAAATTAGAAAGTGGGATGTTTTTAAAACATAATGACAGTGATATCAAACTAAGGAGACCCCCTGAGGGTCTTCCCTTATCACCAGATTGAACAGCATCAAGTGGATAGGCCTGAAATCCACAGAACAAGACTTTATCTAGGTCCCAGTCTCCTGAAGAAACACAAAGTAATTCTGTGCCAATAGTTCTTTAATTTCTGGGGAGGAGCTTCTAAGTTTCCATCCAGGAGAGCATTTTTAAACACCGGCCATTTGGTGCATTTGACACATTTTCCAGTCATTGGCTGGCATGGATTGGTTGGAAAGAATCATTACAAAATTTAGTTTGCCCAGTTACAGGACTAGATTGTTTAACAATTATCTTAGGTTTGAGTGGAAAAGAACAGTTCTGTTTTAACACCTGAAAAGGTGACATGATCCTG